TATCATCCTTTCGTACATCAGCGTACCTTTCTACGCCCCTGCAATGTTCACGAGGCAATTCTTCTTCCCCATACTCCTCCTCCTCTTCGTTTGCTTGGGGGGATTCTGGGTGATGATCAGGAGACATCAGGGCGTGACGGCGTTTCCTCAGCTGTACGTTCGAATTCTGCGATTTTTTCTCATTGTTGCCGTAGCAAAATTTCCACTCGATATGATGCCTTACGTCGAGGCGGCGTCGTGGACGAGTAGAGACAGAAGGGTGTAAGGACCTCGCTTCGTTCACTTTATTAAGATGACTAACAGCGAGAGATGACTTCCTCGGTCTACCTCTACCGTGGCGTTCAGACGTAGTCCTCACCAATGCTAATTCACAGGCTTTCTTTTGCACTAACTTAGCCTTGACGACACTGTCACGAAAGCTCCTTAACTGGAGATCACTGGAAGGTACATAAGCCTCAGGTGGCAGGTGGGGCACATCTAAGTTTTTCTTTTGTGTTATCATGTCTGAATATCGTCGAGGGCGGGGATTTGGTCTCAGCCTCCCCATGACACTACGGTTTAATTGTTTGGCTTTTTCTTCTCGACGCCTGCGGAGGGCCTCACGAACTCCAGGGCGAGCTAGTCCCACAGAGGCTAACAGGGCGTCTTTGGCATCCAATTCTTTGTTGAGCTCGCTCACAGGACCAATCTTTTCGAGTAAATTGCCTATAACAGGATTGCTAAAGATGAAAACGGTGCTATCTTGCTCTTGTTCTTCTGAATCGCAATTATTTGCTCTCGATTGAAGAAACTGTCGCTTAGAGGAGAAAACAACGCCCGTCTTGCTAACTTCGCCCAGTATCTCTTGCAAGACATCATCAAAGGAGCGGAATCCACAATTCATAGATAGGAGTAATTCTTGACGCGACACCGCAACTTCTCGTAAAGGGGATTTTTTGTTTTCCACATATTTCTTACATTCGTTGGTAAATCTTTCAGCAGCCACATTCTCTGCGTGCACAGAACTTTCGGAAACAGGGAAGGCCTTGTTGATCTCTATAGGAATTTCACTGGTAACCGGGGGGACTTCTTTATTTTTTGAAGTATCCTGAACTCCTTCCAGCCCGATACGGTCAGCAGATACTTTAACTAGTTCAACAAGCTTGTCATCATTTATTTTGACATCTTCCGTATCTTTGGGGGAAGTTAATGTCGTGTGTTCTGAAACCTCTGGCTTAGGTTTCGGTTTCCGTCCGCGCTTTTTGGGCGCCTGCAAGGAAACTTCAGTTTGCATCGTCGCAGAATTATTAGCGAGCTCAACTGCTCTACTCAATTTCTTTCTTTGTCTATATCTTCGCAAATTTTCGATGAGTGCTGCCCTGCGTTGTATTTTTTTAGCTGCGATAGTACGCATTGCAGCATGAAGAAGTGCCAACTTTTTAGAGACATTAGATTTTTGGCCATGTTGGTTAGTACGAAGTTTTGCTTCGGTAGTGGATAATTCTGGGAGCTCTTCTTTTACATCTGCGTACTTTTTGCGGCCATATTCTACTTTCTTGGTGATTTTTAGAACGGACACGGAACTTGAGGTTGACGCTATTTCGGGTAGTTCACGTTTCCTTGGCCTACCAGGCTTCTTCCGAACGATAGGAACATTTTTCGGGACTCGCTTTTTGTTCTTCCGCAAAAGACCAAGATTCGCGACGAAAGAAGTTGGACGTCCCCTATTTCTGTTTTAGGAATAAAATTAAAGTTTGGTGAAATATACCTGGTCAACATTGTAACTGAATGATATAATTTCCTTTCGAATTCGCAGTCTAAAATTTTAAAAAAGAAATTGGTTAATTATGTAGCACGAATAACAGGAAAAACAGGCGTGGAATAGAATAAAATAATGTAAGACAAATGAAAGTCGATATTTACATTCTAACTACCGGACAATAATTCAGTGAAACAAAAAAAATGTGCCTTATATCGGAAAAGTTATTTAAAGAGTGTAAAGATAACTGAAAACAAAGATATTGATGGTGACAATATAGAGAAGCTAAAAATCATAAAGCGCATTTATTGCCAACCTAAACTGAAAACTATTTCACGGGTCACTAATAAAGGAGAGTAAATAGTTCAGTAATATAAATATATATACGGAAAAATGTAAGAAACACGGGGAACAGGACGAATCAACACGCGCATTACTTGAAAAGCGAAACCGATATGAAGTATGCGCCTCTAGGTCGACCTACCTAAACCCAAATATAATTGGCTAGATAGGCATACAAAATGAGCAGCGAAGCATTCAAACAAAACATCCCCAGGGCAGTTTTACT